CTCCCTTTAGCATCTCTTGTAAGGTTGGTCTGGTTTTAATAAATTCCCTTAGTTTCTGCTTATCTGGAAATCTCCTAATTTTGCCATCACATTTGAGGGATATTTTTGCCAAGTACATAATTCTTGGTTGAAAATTTTTCTCTTTCAGGGTTTTATATATACCATCAATCATGGGAGAAAAGAAGAGCAGTGTTTGCACAGGGTCAGGTCAGGAGGCAGGAGTGAATGGGAGGGAAGGACACAGGGAAGAGGAAACTGTGGTGAGGAAGCCAGAAGTGAGCTGTTACATTATGGGGAACTGCAATCAATGTCATGAGACAAAATTTGTATGTACTGCTGTATGCAAAATGAATTTGCTCTGTAAACTTACATCCAAATCACAATAAAAATTACTAATTAATTAATTAATTAAGAAGGTCTATCAATCCAGGTGTCCTATGTGAGCCTTTTCAGAAGGCAGTGTAAAGGGTTAGGCCAAAGGTTTGAATCCCAGTTCTTGCTTTTTTTCTAGCTCCATTAACCATGCTGGGTACTTCTCTGAGCCTCAGTTTCATAATCTGTTCAGTGAGAACTCCTATTTATTCTATAGGGTTACTGTATGGATCAATGATTATTTGGAAGAGTGTTTAATGATAATACAAGGAGCCCTGGTAGCACAGTGTAAGCACTGGGCTGGTAACCAAAAACGTCAGCTGTTCAAATCCACTAGCCACTCCACGAGAGAAAGATGTGGCAGTCTGCTTTGGTGAAGATTCAGCCTTGGAAGCCCTATAATAGGGCAGTTCTACTCTGTTCTTTAGAATTGTTATGAGTCGTAATTGACTCAACAGGAACGGGTTTGGTTTTGGTTAATTATAATGGGGAAATGCTCATGACAACAGGCCAATCAAGAAGGCGTAAGTCTAAAACTATCCATGAGTTATTATATATGTGTTCAAGTGAGATGGAAAGAGGAGGAAGGGAAAGAGAAGTCAGAGACAAAATTATGTTTTTCTTCAGGTCTGGTCCTAAATGGCTACATAAGGCAACATGGCTGAATCAGTCTATTAAGGCAATAAAAACCCAAACACTTCAGTCTATACAAAGATCAGAACCATCCCTCCCAAATCTAAACATGTGGTCAGTCCATTAACAAGAACACTGAATACAACCTCCAAAGAGAAGGAGGAGGTAAGGCCAGGTAAGCCCGCTCAGGCTTGTTGTTGTGTTGTTGTTATATGCCGTCGAGTCGGCCCCGACTCATAGCGACCCCTCCTTGGGTTTCCGAGGCAGTATCACTACGGAAGTAGGATTGCCCAACCTTCCTTCCGAGGAGTGGCTGGTGGGTTTGAACCGCCAGCCTTCTGGTTAGTTAGCAGTCAAGTGCTTTAGCCACTATGCTACCAGAGCTCCTCGCTCAGGCTTAGAAGAGGAAAAAATAGGTTAACTCTCCCGGTGGGTGGAACTCTAGCTAATCTTCTTAAAGGGGAAACTCCCACTTTCACCTTCAAGCTTGGCTGAAAGGTCGGCTGTACTCCTAGTGTACTGACATGGCCCACAGGGAATGTGCCAAGGTACACTTACAAAAAGGACCAAATATCCCTAAATCCACCTTCTCAAACCCACTGCCTAACTTCAGAATCTGAGGGTATGCCCTTGCTGGGGGATGGAGGTGTCTATAGCCTTGCACCAGCCCAGCCTAGGCAGCTCAGTGCACTCTAGCCCCTGTGCTGGACCAGGACATGATGGCTCCTTCCCAACACCAGACCTCAGCTCTGGCTGTCCTAGACCACTCTACTCAAAGCAGTAAGTCACTCCCTGTTATACACCCACTGCAGCACTGACTTGAGCATTTCTAAGTTGTCTGTCTTTCCATAATGGAAGCACCATGGGGACAGAGACCCTGTCTGGCACGTACAAGACTGTGTCCTCAGGACTGAGCAGGTGAGCCTTCAAATGTCTATCAAGTAAACAAACAAACTTTGGAGTCTAGAGTTAGTAAAGATGGTTTTATATCCCAGCTCCACCACTTGCTGGCTCTGTGAAATTGAGAAAGTCACTTAACGTCTCTGAATATGTGAACTCATTTCTAAAAGGGGATAACCCTGTCTCACAGGGTTACTGGGAAGAATAAATGAGATAAAGACCATGAAGCTATTAATACGGTGCTTGGACAGTTATTGGTTGGTAACTATATTATCATCATTATTGGTTTATTATCTATATTATTATTATGATATGAAACTGATTCCATTTGGGAATTATTGTTTAATAGCTGGATTGGCTTTTTACCTAAATGACCAACTAAAAGGAGCTAGTGAAAAATAACTACAAATAAACTACAAAAAAGCAATGAGTCAATTTCTCAGGTTCGCTGGAGAAGGAGGTGTTTTACAATAAGGGTAAGTTCTAGATATAAGAACCTTTACACAAAGAAACTTACTTTCATCAAAAAATCCATAATTTGTGGAAGGTTCAGCCAAATACAAACCCAAATGCTAGCTCTTTACCTCTATGTCCTGGGGCCTCATGTAAGTCACATAACTTCACAGAGCCTCAGTTTACTCATCTGTGAAATGAGGAAAAAACTCTCTTTCCCAAAGGTTCTTGTAAGGATTAAAGATACTGTGTGTAACTGAAAAAAGATAGTGAGGATTGGTGGACAGGATGTTGCTGTTGTTGTTGTTATGTGCCGTCGAGTTGGCTCCAACTCATAGCAACCCCTCCTTGGGTTTCTGAGGTGGTATCACTACAGAAGTAGACTGCCCAACCTTCCTTCCGAGGAGTGGCTGGTGGGTTCGAACCGACAGCCTTCTGGTTAGCAGTCAAATGTCTTAGGCACTATGCTACCAGAGCTCCTTGTGGACAACATAGCAAATGTAATTTATGTTACTGATCGTGCAAGTAGAAATGACTGAAATGGCAAACTGTTATATATGTATTTCACCACAGTAAAAAATAAATAAATAAATAGATAATAGCAATGCTAATAAAATATCGGTACATGATAGATATTGAAGATAAGAATGACAGTCATTTTTATTATCATTAAAAACGTTTAAGTCTTGTAGTAGGATGCTCTGCACAGTGATGTACAAAGGGCTACCAGAATATCTAGGGCCATTTATTCACCATTGCCTTAGAGTTGTGCTTTTGTATTTGGTTCATTTCCTTAAATGTTAGAGAGTGTTTGTTTGTCTCTTTGTCATACTGAGAAGTATCACTTTTCCTCAGGGAAATAATTAAAGACTTTCCTTATTAAAAGTGTTAATATATTAAGTCTGCTATGAAAGAAAACCATTCAGCCTGCAAAGTGGAGACCTGAAATTCTTACCCTACTTTAACAGCAACAGCTTTTGACAACCATCTCAGCTGCTTAGGCCCTGTGTTTCTCAACCCTAGGGCTATACCCTGCCCACTTAAGACTCAAGAGCTAACAGTGATTTTCAAAGGGGTATCAAACAAACAAAAGCTATGTGGCTTCCAAAACCTAAAATGCTTACTATCTGGCCCTTTCCAAAAAAGTCTTCAGATCCCTGTCCTAGACGACTGAAGACATCTGAATTAGTATTATACTTTATTAGTGATTACCAGGAGTGGGAGGGAGAGAGGGGGAAAGGGGGATTCACTGCTTCTGTTAAGGTTAAAGGAAATAATTTGGAAATGGATAATGGTGATGGTTCCAAAACATGATGAATACAATTAATGTCACTGAACTGTACACATGAAGAATGTTGGAATGGTCATTGTTTTATACACACACACACACACACACATTCATTACACACACAAAAAAACCCCAAGATGAAACAATAAATTCAAACTTCAAAGGATGACCCTCTCTGGAGCCTTTTCTCGTCAAAACTCATCAACTATGTGCCCATTCTTTCTATTTTGGTGGTGGGAGGCGTGATTGGATGTGAAGAGAAAGGACAGGTAGGAATCTAAACAGACTCAGGAAAAACACTTTTTGAAGGCAGTGGCTGATGCCCGGAACAACTCAGGATTCAGCAACTGTTATTTCAAAGACAGGCTGCCAAGGTCCCACTGAATGAGGACCTTGAATAGTCTGCTCTGGTGCCTGGTCTGGGACAAGGACCCCCGAGCTCCAGGTAACAACTGAGCTGGGGCATGTGGTTCAGTGAAAAACACAGTTTTTAGTGACAGAGCGCTGAGTGTGATTTCGGACTCTGCCTCCTGCCTTGGACAAGCACCTGAATCTTTCTAAGCCTTAATTTCTGCATCTGAAAAATGGCAACTAAAATAGCTACCATGTTTGCGAGGATTTGGACAATGTGTATAAAATATGGGCACCATGCCGGCACATAGTAGGTGTCACACCAGTGGTGCCCACTGTTACTGTCAGTCATGATGCAGAGTCACACAGTTCTGGGCCTGTGTAGAGAAGCATTCTATCGCCGAGGCATCTCATCATCAACCCAATTATCAAAAGAGTGCCCGGGATCCTCCTATTGGTGGCTCAGAATTTCAATCAGTTCAGTGAGCCAGGTAACAGATTTGAGGGAGAATGCTTGGCCTAGTCACTCTCATTAATGATTTTTGTCCTCAAGACTGACAGCTAAAGGGAGAAGGGAGTAAGTAACTCACAGGTCTCGATACTGGTCAAAGGCATTGTTGGCTTCCACTTCCAGCTTTCTGAGCCGAGCAGACGGCATGGCCCCATCTTCCAATGGAGGGTCGTACTTGTTACTCCAGGGTGACCTGAAGGGGAAGGAAGGAGATGGAGATAACGTGAATTATTCTAGGAAGACATGGTTGGGAACAATGAGTCCCAGTCCTAGCTGCCTAAAATTTCAGAAGCAAAGCCACTACCTACAGCTAAGACTTCTCTAGCCCCTGGCAACAAACATGGCTTTCTCAAAGTCTACAGACCAAGGGTTTCAGAAGTAAGCAGATTTAGGCAGAAATCTGAGGCTCCATCCCTTACAAGCGGTGTATTGTCAGCAAGTGGTTTGACTTCTCTGAGGCTTACTTTCCTCATGTGTAAAATGCTAACCAGAGGGTTGTAGTGAAAAGCAAAGAAGTATATCAAGTGCCTAGAACAGAGCTTGGCATAGAGTAAGTGTTCAACAAACGTCAGCCCTTTTGCTTTCACAATGTATGACAGAGATACCCTTTTCCCCTCCTTCAACTGTTGACAGCTCTAGATAAACTTTCACTCCAAAGCCCTTCTTACACAAGGAAGTACTAAGGAAAGAACTGTCAGTTACTGGTAGCAGGCAAGAAGCACAGCTCCAGCGGCAAACACTGATTACATTAGCAAACCTGAGCAGCTGAGTGCCCCGCATGAACAGAAGGGCAGCTTTTCCCTCACCCAAAGGCTGTGCACACATACAAAGGCTGCTAAGTAATGAGAACCAGCCTCTCTTCCTCTAGTCCAAAGACTTGCTGCAGTTTTAAAAATGTACTTTGCCACATCAGGAAAACATTTAATCAGGACTGGGAAGGGGGTTAAAAGGGAAAGATCTACTCGTTAATTCTTGCAGGTGGGGGTTCAAAGGGCTGGGTGTTCACAGAAAGAAATGGACTTAAAAAAGGTACAAGAGGAATGAAAAGGAGGAGGAGAAGACAATATGGAATTCAGAAAAAGTCCTTTACACTCTTGGGCATAAAAATCTCAATGTTTCCATTGTAAGAAATGAATCCCTGCATTCTCTTCTTCCCCTCAACAGGAGCAGTGACCACTCTACTGGTAAGTGTTCAACAAACGTCAGCCCTTTTGCTGTTTCTAATTTTCTTTTGCTTTCACACTGTATGATAGATACCCTTTTCCCTTCCTTGAACTGTTGACAGCTCTAGATAAACTTTCACTCCAAAGACCTTCTTACACAAGGAAGTACTAAGGAAAGAGCTGTCAGTTATTGGTAGCAGCTATTGGTAGTGACCACTCCCTTCTCCCTGCCCCCTATCCCCATACAGATATTGAATCTTACATCCTTAATATCCTTACTGCTCCCTCATCCTTGACTGCAAGTCCCTGGAGAAAAGAGAACCTGTGCAGTTTGCCTTTCTGCCCTTAGTATCTGGTAGAGAGTAAGTGCTCAGTACATGCTGTCTGATAAGACTGAACCCTTAGAGCACAGGACAGACAAGAAAGCGCCTATAGGAATTTTGCTGGTGGTCCTCAAAACCAGGAAAGATAAAGTTGCCTTGTGCTTCTTCTGCTGAGCAATACTTAAGTATTGGACTCTCACCTGATCTCAGAAACAAAGGTGCATTTGAAGGGTGCTGTCACCACCATTATTTAGGAATGAGGCCTGGTACTGCCACTCACCAGGGGGAGAAGAAAAGAATCTGAGAGGGAGAACTCTGAATCCCTTCCTTCTCCCTCCATGCTTCTTCTGAGAGTCCAGCACACTCAAAGGTCTGACCTTCATTTCCACGGTTGAACAGCCATTGCCTTCCTGTGAGTCTGGAAGACCTGCCCCAACTGGCTTTCATTTAAAGGCGACCTGATTAGACACAAGAACCCATCTCTCTTGCAGACTGGGGGCCTGGAATTTTCAAGAAGCCTGTAACTCACATTTCTCCTGGCTCACAGACAACAGCATTTCAAGCTGTTAGTCCTGGAGCCAGGGTAATTGTAGCTGGGGGAAAAATCATAACATTATCCAGAATATTCTTAGTAGAAGGGGCACTCAGAACACATTTAGAGCTTAAATTGAGGCCATTTGAAAAAAGACAGATGGACAGGAACGCTTAGATTTCTAAAGTCAGGCCTTTCATTTCCCTTAGAGAATGCTTTTTGTTTCAGCTAACAGGTTTCAAACAGTGCTGCTGGCAACGGTCACACCATAAGGATTTTATTTAAGCAAACGATCAAACACAGTTAGGATGGAAATGTGTGGAGAAAATCAGAAGACCTTGAAGTTTTATATCAAGAGGGGGAAAAGGAAAGAAAAGCTCTCTGCCTTGACATCCCCAACCCCACTTTCAACTGAGATCCCCCAGGCCCCTCTGCTGTACCTCAGGAATGTGAGCAGGAGCTGGCAGGGTGACCTGGCAGGGCTGCAGGTACCAGGTCCCTGGGGGAAGCTGGCCTTGGCATGAATATGGAAATGATCCCATCTTTCCCCAGGCTCCTGAAGAGCAGCTGCTTTATACAGCAAGCTGGAGTTTTCAGGTAGAAAACTGAGGAGGGATTAAGCAAGACTCAGCTCAGGGATCACCTCTTCCAGGAAGCCTTCTCTGCACCCGGCGAGGGCATTCCCCCTGGGATCATGGGCTCACTGGCACTTACCAACTTCACTGGACTTCTCTCCTGAGGGGCCACTCTACTCACTTCCCAGGAGGCTCTCAATAGGACCGTAATCTCATCTGCCTTGGCCCCAAGACTGGCACAGTCACTGGCACTTTAAACAAGCCCTTCAAGGTTGAACTTCACTTTGAATTAACCTCTGGCTTTCACTGTTCCCTTTGCCGCTTTATAATCCTTTTGTTCTGGATATTTTCACAAAGCAGAAGAGTCTCCTCTAGTCAGGATGATTTGGGTCTATTCCTTGAGGAGACCAAGGAAACTGCCCTGGCCTTGCTCAATCCTACCTCCAAGGCCGAGACTCACTTGGTAAATGAGAAAGAAGCAAACTGAGTCAACATTCGATAATTATTTATTGAGCATCCTATGTGCTAGGTGTAGGTGTTATGCCAGCGGAAGAGGCAAAAATCTCTTATAACCTTGTAGCACTTAGATTCTAGAGGTGCAGAGTTATGGGTAGGGGACAAACCAAAAAAAATAAATAGCAAAATATCTAGCATTTCAAATAGTAATTAAGTGTTATGGAGAAAAATAAAGCAGGAAAGGGGTGGAGGTTGGTGACTACTATTTTAAATCAGTGGTCAGAGAAGGTGGTGACATTTCAGCAGAGATTTGAAGGAGGTGAGGAAGTAAACCATAAGGGTAATTAGCGGAGAGATCTAGACAAACCAGTAGGCAAAGGCCTTGATGCAGGAGCTTGCCTGGCATATTTAAGATCAAGGAGAACAGGGCCGGCACAAAATGAGTGAGGGGGAGAGCTGTAGATAAGATCAGACAAGGAAAGGGGTGATCTGCAGAGCCTTGTAAAGCACCCTAAGAACTCTGGCTTTTCTTTCAAGTGAGGAGAAAAGCCTTAGCCTTCCAGCCAGGGGAGGAAAATGATACCATGTGTCCTAGCTGCTGCTAAGGTGCCCAAATGACTACACCTGACATCATCATTCCCAGCGCATGCGAGAGCCAAGGCAAGAGCATAACTGGCCCAGGGTCAGTTTGCAAAATCAGATTTCTGTCTGTCCAGCTGGAAGTCAGGTTGGCCCTGGTATTCTGGCTTGTGTCCAATAAACAAACAACATCTTCCAGAGCAATAATCTTCTGTGAGTTTAACAATTACCTGGGGTGTTTGTTAAGATACAAGTTCCCAGGCTCTGCCCTAAGATTCTATTGCTGAAGGTCTTGGGTGATGCCCCAGAATCACCTGCATGCACTTATTTTAATGTAGATTCCTGGGTCCCACCCTATATAAATAACATCTTCAAGGTAGGGCCTATGATCTGTATTTCTCAAAACCCAAAGGTGACTATGGTAACACAGGTCTATTTGTCAATCACTGTCACAGGGTTAATGCTAACTGCAACTGACTCTCAACCTTTCATAATCTTAGGTACTGAAGTGGAAGGAAGTGAGAGTGGTCCTAACATCTATGGGTGTTACCAGGAGACCCACTCTTAACTGAGGAGCCCTAGTCAGCAGCTCTCAAGCCCACCTCAGCACAAGGACCACTCTAAAACCCAATCCCCATGACGAGGAGACCAGGAAGGGCCTAACGCACCAGCTGCGGTGGAGAGGCAGACACACTGCTCTCACTCTGCAGGAGGATATAAGCTGATAAAGGAAGCAACATGCAAAACTGATTGTATCAACCCAAAGGCTCCAATCATGCAATTAAGATGCACAGCACCGCACCAAGCAGTTCTCCAACTGAAGCGTGCTTCAGAGTCACTCCACCAATTTAAAATAGTAACCTCTCACCCCTACTCTTTCTCTGCTTTATTTTTCTCCATAACACTTACTACTACTTGAAGGACTAAATATATTGCTGTTTTTTTTTTTTTTTTTTGAAAAAAAAAAAAAAAAACCCAAGTTCTCTAGGTGATTCAGGTATAGAAACAATGGTATAGAGCAGTTTTTCAATCTTGGTATTACTGAGGTTTTTGTGACATTTTGATTAGATAATCAGTTCTCTGTTGTGAGAGGCTGGCCTATGCACCTTGCTGTTGTTGTTATGTGCCATTGAGTCAGCCCTGACTCATAGCTACCCCTCCCTGGGTTTTTGAGGTGGTATCACTATGGAAGTAGATTGCCCAACCTTCCTTCTGAGGAGTGGCTGGTGGGTTTGAACCACCAGCCTTCTGGTTAGCAGTCAAGTGCCTTAGGCACTATGCTACCAGAGCTCCTTAGGATGTTTGTTTAGCAGCATCCTTGGTTTCTATTTAATAGCTTCTATCCTTGACACCCCCTTCTCCAGCTGTGACAATCAAAAATGTCCCCAGATATCACCAAATGTCCTTGGGAGCTTGCTGTTGCTGCTATTGTTATGTGCCACTGAGTCGGACCCGACTCACAGCGACCCCTCCTTGGGTTTGAACCACCAGCCTTCTGGTTAGCAGTCAAGTGCCTTAGCCACTATGCTACCAGGGATTACTCTTAGGTTAAGAAGCACTCAAAC